AATGAAAGAGAAGGCATGCTTTCCTGGATCCTATCAGATGACCCTGTTTTATTGATGAGAAAAAACAATGCATTTATTCATTCATTTGTATCCAGGCTTTATTATTTTCACAAATAATATCCAGCACACCTCCCTCTTCTTACTTTCCCACAACAATTACCCAGTGGGGATGGTTGGCTTTCATGGCTAAGGCAGGACTCATGATCCCCTTCTTTCTAGCTTAGTGCTTTAACCCAACAGCCCCCAATCTTTGGAGCACCAGAGACCAATTCCATGGAGAGAGGTTTTTCCATAGACCAAAGGGGGCGCTGTTCCGTGTGATGCCTGAATCCCGTAGATGGGGCTTCATGTGTTTGCGCGGCCCAGTTTTCTGGCATGCCATGGCCCGGTGCCAGTCTACAGTTGGGGATTCCTGCTTTAATCAGTAGACCAAACTGGCTATAAATAATCAGTGCATATTCTCCATGCGCTGTAGAAGGCCTCTTACCAAGGTTTGCGGGCTTATCTTTCTGGTTAATGGCTTCCAGAATGTAAACTTTGGAAGAGATATTTATATCTGAGTTAGCTTGTAGTTTTTTTTTTTAATAATTTTTTATTTTTCCAAACTCTCCCCCATACATATACCGTAATACTTATCAGATATTAACATACATTCCCTCCACATTCACATACAGATACTTTTAACAAAATGAAATAAATACATACACATAACTTTGGTGTTGCTCGCCCATTTCCCCTTTCACCGTATCCACACTCCTTCTTCTTTACCTTCTTTCTCCCTTTCTTCTCTTCCCTACTTCCCTCTTCTTCCTATCATCTCCTTCACCACTCTCCTCCCCTTTCCTCTTCCTCCAACCTTCCTACTTCCTTCTCCCCTCCTTTACTCTTTTCTCTCTCCTCTCCTTTCTTCATCCCTCTTCAGATACAATTCAGGGGTAATGTCCGAGCATGAGTTAGCTTGTAGTTTGAAGGCCAATTTTGGTGAAAGTTCTGGACTTGTTTGGCTTGACGTTTGTGTATTGGACCCAAGAGTGTTTGTGTATGGGCCCAAGAGCTGTCATAGTACATATGCTGTAATTCACCTACTGTTTAGTCTACTGTAATCTGTGCTCTGCGGAGCTGACCTTGAAGAATATTTTCAAGATATTTTTGTTCAGTCACTAAGCCATGTCCAACTCTTCACGATCCCGGGGATCACAGCACACCAACCCCACCCCAATCCTCCACTGTGTCCTGGGGTTTTTCCAAACTCATTCCCACTGCATCAATGATCCCTGTCTAACCATCTCATCCTTTGCTGTCCCCTTCTCTTTTTAGCTTCCATCTTTCCTAACATCGGGGTCTTTTCTAAGGAGCCCTCTCTCTTCATTAGGTGGCCAAAGTCTTTGAGCTTTCTCTTATGCTATGTTTTGTTTTTTTCTTTTGGTTCACATCACTGCCCATAAATAAGACAAACGGGTTGCGGTTTAAAAACCGTTTAGAATAAACCAGTTGTATTTATTTTAACAAGTAAGAGAACTGAAGCAATTTATTCAGGGACTTTAATGTTTCACGGAGGCTAAGATATTTGCCAGGCTGCTCACCCTTGATGGTGCTACCCCAGTTCATTCATATTCTATGGCAGACATGTCAAACACAAGGCCCGGGGACTGGATGCGGCCCGTGAAGTGGTTTTATGTGGCCCACGAAGCCATCCTGGAAACAGTGAGGGAACGGCCCCCACTGCCTTGGCCCTGGCCCAGGCCGGCCGGGAGCCAATGTACAATTTTGTGGTGGCCATCTATGCTGAAATGCATTCAGTCTTAGCTCCACAAGGCCGTCTGGAAACAGCGAGGAACCAGCCCCTGCTGCATGGGCCCTGCCCCCTGGGTGCATGCTGGGGAGGGGTCACCCTTTGTGAGGAATGAAGAAATGGGCCGTGCCTTGGCGCTTGCCCCGGTCCCACCCCCTTCTGCCACAGACCCTCAGATCTGTCCCACTCCTGCCCAGGCCCCCACAGGCACCCTTGACGCAAATGATGTAGAGATGGCCATGCCCACCCAGTAGGCCACACCTACTCCATTCACACCCACCCAGTAGCCCACACCCACCCTGGCCACATCCACCTGCCCCCCCAAGGGCAACTGCAATGCTGATGCGGCCCTCAGTGAAATTGAGTTTGACACCCCTGTTCTATGATATACAGCTGGTTACTTTATTATGACAATATCCAACACTGTGCACCATCAATATAATTACTCAGGACACCATTTCTAAATAACACTTGTCACAATTAGTGATATATATAACACCAGCCTGAAGATGACAAATGGGACTTCGTCGAAACGTCACCAAGACACTTCCAATTTTATGCGGGAGAAAACCCGAATAACCAAAGACCTACATATATATATATATATATGTGTGTGTGTGTGTGTGTGTGTGTGTGTATACAGAATAGAATATAGAATAACAGAGTTGGGAGGGAACTTGAGGTCTTTTAGTCCAACCCCTTATTCAAGCAGGAGAACTCATGCCATCCCAGTTAAATGGTTGCCCAATCTCTTTTTATGCTTTTCTGCCTTTCATCTGACTAATCTTCCCATTACGATTAGAAAGCTAAACTCATTTCATCTTAAACGTTTCTCACGTCTACAAAAATGTCTTTTTGTTTAGTAAGTCTATATATACAATTTATAGTTGCCCTTGCACTATACACACATCCTGAAATCTGGCTGAGAGGCCAGGAGCCTTTATTCACATGGGGTACATTTAGATGCTTGGTTCTTTCTATGTTTTAAAATAATATTCACCCCTGGCCATGCACTAAATACATCCTGTTAACTGGCAAACAAAAGTCTACTTTAGTCAACCGATAGATAAAGCCATATCTCATTTGGGAGCATAGCGAAGTTTTGAAATAGTTCTCGGTGCTATTTAAACTGCGATACACAGATATGAACAATGGCAAATGCTTTTACGATATGGGTTTTATGGACGGGCTGAGTTTGTGCAGTGCAAAATGTGTTTGAACAAGGAACCAGTTTCCACCAGTTGTAGAACCACTTCCTTAAACACAAGTATGCTGGGCGACCCCAACTCAATGACCTTTGGATAATCATGGTGGGGCCATCAATAACATTATCTGGCACTGAGGGGGCGGTATAGCAGAGGGTCTCTAGCTGAGTGTTTGCTTGTACAAATAAGCAAACAAAATTCTTTCCAAAAGGATTGCGTAGATACTCTCCAAATAAACTTGATAAACCTAAATTAAATTTTTTAACTGCACACGGCCTAGAGTCACACTGTGAGAGAGATGGGCAGTCTCTAAATTTGATATAAACCTAAATATATAGAATAACAGAATTGGAAGGGACCTTGGAGGTCTTCTAGTCCAAACCCCAGTCAAGCAGGAAACTCTATACCAGGGGTAGGCAACCTTGGCTCTTTTATGACTTGTGGACTTCAACTCCCAGAATTCCTAAGCCAGCCATGCTGAGGGGAAAGGGAGAAGTTTCCAAGCTGAGCCATGCTGGCTCAGGAATTCTGGAAGTTGAAGTCCACCAGTCATAAAGCAGCCTAGGCCTAGGCCAGAGGTAGGCAACCTTGGCTCTTTTATGACTTGTGGACTTCAACTCCCAGAATTCCTGAGCCAGCATAGCTCAGCTTGGAAACCCCTCCCTTTTCCCCTCAGCGTGGCTGGCTCAGGAATTCTGGGAGTTGAAGTCCACGAGTCATAAAAAGTCAAGGTTGCCTACCCCTGCCCTATACCATTCCAGACAAATGGCTGTCCAATGTCTTCTTGAAAACCCTCCATTGATGGAGCACCCACAATTTTTGGAGGCAAGCTGTTCAATTGGTTGATTGTTCTTGCGATCAGGAAATTTCTCCTTAGTCCTAGGCTGGTTGTCTCCTTGATTGTTTCCATCCATTGCTTCTTGTCCTAAAATAAATGAATTCCAATCAAATACGCATTAGATAGGTCTTACGTTTATTCTAGTTGGACAACATTAAAAAAAAATTCCTTGAATACAAAGATGAGAGCTTCCAAACTGACTTCCATTAATATTAGTGGTCCACTGAGAGGCTGCCACAAGAGACACAGAGAGATATTCCATATGCAAACATTGGGATTTCTCCTTCTCCTTCTCCTCCTCCTCCTTCTCCTTCTCTTTCTCCTTCTCCTTCTCCTTCTCCTCCTCCTCCTCCTTCTCCTTCTCTTTCTCCTTCTCCTCCTCCTCCTCCTCTTCCACCACCACCACCACCACCTCCTCCTCCTCCTCCTCCTACTCCTACTCCTCCACCACCACCACCTCCTCCTCCTCCTCCTCCTACTACTACTCCTCCACCGCCACCTCCTCCTCCTCCTCCTCCTCCTCTCCCTTTCCTGTGTATATTCTTCTTCTTCTTCTTCTGTCTATATTCTCCTCTTCCTCTTCCTCCTTCTCCTCCTCCAACCCAAAGGCAACTTCTTTGAAATAAGGATTAGTAGCTATTTACTGACATTAATACTTCGCTTTCATTACTATTCAAAATTATGACTTGCAGAACACTAAGAGGTTTCGTATTCTCTGACAAATATATTCCACTGCTTTCTTTGAGAAAGAATTCTTAAAGGTAAATTCTGAAGAGATGGGATTCTGAATTGCATTGAAGAAGAGCCATGTTTCAGACTTAAGTTCCTTAAAGCGAACAACAACAACAAAAAAATAGTTTAATGTATTTTTTTTTAAAGGGACAGTTACAAATAATAGTTTCTATCAATACAACAGTATTATTTGGAAGACTGGATAAAGGTATTTTGGATGCTTAATAAGTCAAGTTATTTAAGTAAAAGCAAGGAGATCAATTTGTCAGAGAATTTTTTTTTGCTGAAAATGCTCCATTGCTTCACTTTTATTGGGATCGTAATTCTTTTCTTCAGTTGTGTTGGTTTTTTTTTTTAGTTGCGGAAAATATCTCGAACGAAACGCATCGCCCACGGAAGCTAAATTAATTTCAGATTTCTCTTTCTTTTGCAGAACTACAGGAAACCAAGACATCCCAATTTTACTCCCTTTCCCATCACCCCTTGGACTACAGGATATTAGTGATGGATGAAGATCAAGACCGGATCTACGTTGGCAGCAAAGATCACATTTTGTCGTTGAATATCAATAACATAAGCCAGGAGCCACTGAGTGTAAGTTCACGGTGTGGTTGAGAATGGAAGATTTTAAAAGTTTTGCATGAAAAATGGAGGGATAACAATATGTCTCATTCTTCCATTAATAGTGTTCTGTCCCAGCCTACGTGAGTCCTTGTTAACTCACAAGGAGAAACCCCTCTTCCAACAAGTAGGCTGGAACCGCAGGAAAAACAAACCCCTTTTATTACAGATCTGCAAAATGTCCAAATGCAAAGGCCAAACAAATACGATGAAATGAATGTTGATTCTTTCTCAAACGGAAAATTGTCCAAAGGCACAGGGAAACAAAACATGATTCAATGAAACTTGATTCCTTCCCAAATGGTTGCCTTCAGCAACCAACACCTCCCACACCTTCCCTTTTATTATGCAGCCCAAGGCATGACTTCCTAATGCCTTCTCCTTTGCCTTTGGAGCCATCCCATTGCCTTCCTCTGTCCAACTCTTGTTGCCTGTAGGTATTTGCGAGCATCTATGACAGACATGTCAAACACAAGGCCCGGGGGTTGGACGCAGCCCGGGAAGTGGTTTCATGTGGCCTGTGAAGCCTGGAAACACTGAGGGAATGGCCCCTGCTGCCTTGGCCCTGGCCCAGGGCGGCCGGGAGCCAATGTACAATTTTGAGGTGGCCATTTATGCTGAAACGCATTCAGTCTTAGCTCCACAAGGAAACAGCGAGGAACCAGCCCCTGCTGCGTTGGCCCCGCCCTTCGGGTGCATGCTGGGGAGGTGTCACCCTTTGTGAGGAATGATGAAATGGACCATGCCTTGGCGCTTGCCCCGGTCCCACCCCCTTCTGCCAGAGACCCTCAGATCTGTCCCACTCCTGCCCAGACCCCCACAGGCACCCTTGACGCGATCGATGTAGAGCTGGCCATGCCCACCCAGTAGGCCATATCCACTTCATCCATGCCTACACAGTAGGCCACACCCACCCTGGCCACACCCACCTGACCCCCCAAGGGCAACCACAATGCTGATGCGGCCCTCAAAGAAATTGAGTTTGACACCCCTGGTCTATGATTTCTTCCAGCTGTGAGTCCTCAGAGTCTGACTCAGCTTCCCAGCACAGCTGTGTCTCAGCCTGAGCACGAGTAGAGGGGCCAGGCTCCTCGTCAGATTGTAAGTCTTAGAGCTCCTCAGAGCCTTCCTCTGTCTCTGAGGAGCTCTAAGACTTAGGCCCCTCGTCCTCCTCTGATTCCCTGGACTCAACTGCCGGGTCCACTGGTTGGCGAGGAATCCCAACAAATAGACTGAATGAATTTTCTACGTTCTGTCAACAATTTTGCTTAAAATATTAATGCGACAGTATGTTCAATCAATACACCACTTTTCCTGCCAGGCTACAAATGTTTATCAGGTCAAAGTTTTCAAGTTTACCAAAAGATTGTGAAGTCATCTAAAGATGGCTGCGAAGCAGAAAACCCCTGGGGTGGGATTTGAAAGTCTAAACATCTAGGATCAAAACAGTTGACAGGTTGGGTGGAAACTGTTTACTCCTATGCTGGTTCAAAATCTACTTGATTTTCAATCCTCTACTAGTTAGTCCCTTTCTGAAGGGCAATGCAAGGGAGCAGATGAAACACCTTAATCTTGAGGAAAAGGGAGAGGATGTGGCTTTGTTACAAATAGAAGGTAAATCCCTGGAGCTTTTATCTCCAGCTGACGTTGCCCAGGATTTCATGAAAATGTTTCATTGAATAGTTTCAGACAGGAATATCTGAAACCACCTGAATTTTCTTTCCCAACCGTAGTCTGACCTCACATCTGTTGATTGCTTTTGGAGAGGAATCTATACAGTACAATTAATATTATATTGTATTATACTACTAATATTATTATATCATTAAAATATAAAGAATAAAATTACATGGTGATAAGAGCTCCTTCCTTCCCTCCCTCCCTCCCTCTGTTCCTCCCTCCTTCCTTCTTCCCTTCCTCCCTCTCTCCTTCCTTCCTTCCTCCCTTCCTTCCTTCCTTCCTCCCTCCCTCCCTCCTTCCTTCATTCCTTCCTTCATTCCTTCATTCCTTCTCTCCCTCCCTCCTTCTCCCTTCCTTCCTTCCTTCCTCCCTCCCTCCTTCCTTCCTTTCTTCCTTCCTCCCTCCCTCCTTCGTTCGTTCCTTCATTCCTTCTCTCCCTCCCTCCTTCCTCCCTCCCTTCCTTCCTTCCTCCCTCCCTCCTTCCTTCCTTCCTTCCTTCCTTCCTCCCTCCCTCCTTCGTTCCTTCATTCCTTCTCTCCCTCCCTCCTTCCTTCCTTCCTTCCTTCCTCCCTCCCTCCTTCGTTCGTTCCTTCATTCCTTCTCTCCCTCCCTCCTTCCTCCCTCCCTTCCTTCCTCCCTCCCTCCTTCCTTCCTTCCTTCCTTCCTTCCTTCCTTCCTTCCTCCCTCCCTCCCTCCTTCGTTCCTTCCTTCGTTCCTTCATTCCTTCTCTCCCTCCCTCCTTCCTTCCTTCCTCCCTCCCTCCTTCCTTCGTTCCTTCATTCCTTCTCTCCCTCCGTCCTTCCTCCCTCCCTCCCTCCCTCCTTTCTTCCTTCCTTCCTTCCTCCCTCCCTCTCTCCCTCCTTCTTTCCTTCTTTCCTTCCTTCCTTCCTCCCTCCCTCCTTCCTTCCTTCCTTCCTTCCTTCTTTCCTTCCTCCCTCCCTCCCTCCCTCCTTCATTCCTTCGTTCCTTCCTTCCCTCCCTCCCTCCCTCCCTCCCTCCTTCCTTCCTTCCTTCCTCCCTCCCTCCTTCGTTCGTTCCTTCATTCCTTCTCTCCCTCCCTCCTTCCTTCCTTCCTCCCTCCCTCCCTCCCTCCTTCGTTCCTTCCTTCGTTCCTTCATTTCCTTCTCTCCCCCTCCCTCCTCCTTCCTTCCTTCTCTCACCCTCCTTTCCTTCGTTCCTTCATTCCTTCTCTCCCTCCGTCCTTTCCTCCCTCCCTCCCTCCTCTTTCTTCCTTCCTTCCTTCCTCCCTCCCTCTCTCCCTCCTTCTTTCCTCTTCCTTCCTTCCTTCCCCTCCCCCTCCTTCCTTCCTTCCTTCCTTCCTTCTTTCCTTCCTCCCTCCCTCCCTCCCTCCTTCATTCCTTCGTTCCTTCCTTCCCTCCCTCCCTCCCTCCCTCGTTCCTTCCTTCGTTCCTTCCTTTCTTCCTCCCTCGCTCCCTCCATCCTTCCTTCCTTTTTCCTTCCTCCCTCCCTCCCTCCCTCCTTCCTTCCTTCCTTTGTTCCTTCATTCCTTCTCTCCCTCCCTCCTTCTCCCTCCCTTCCTTCTCGTGATAATAAAAATAAATATATATTTTTTTTTAAAAAAAATATCTTTCCAAACATTGCCAGCCCTGTGCACGGATGTCCCATATGTGCCATCTGTCTTGCTTTCCAAGGAACAGGCTCTGTTTTGAAATGACGCTTGAAGGAGGCCTTTTAAAAATATCCTCCGTCTGTGAAGAAGTTCGGGAGTTTTGTTTCTCTAACGCCTCATACTTGTCAGGTCCCAACAATGAAGATGAATGAATTCGCCTCTAAGGGCAGCCCAATTTACTAAGAGCTTAAATATTCTGTTAATATTGTGTTCTTAAAAACAAAAAAAAAAAAAACAGCTAAAGAAATATGCCAGAGGTGCTACTGTCTTAGCGTATTTACTAATATGCTAAATCAGTGGTTCTCAATCTTTTTAATGCTGTGACCCCCAACTGGTTGTAACTCGAGGATTACCCAACCGGTCGTAAGTCGAGGACTTTCCCTGCCCGGGAGCACCACGCATACGTGGTGCCACCCCCTGCACCGGCCGAGGTGTAGCTGGCAAGTGGCAGAGACGGCGCAGGCCGACCACCGGCTGGGCCACCAGCTGGCCCAGCCCAAGGGAGGTAAGGCACCCGCCAGGCCCCACGCGCGCCAGCAACCCTCCCTGCGCCCGCCGGCCTCCCACCTCCCACCCCTGGCCCTCTTTTCCTTACATTTTTAGTAGTTACTCAGCAGGGAGGGGTGGAAACTTTCAGACAGCTCGCCTTCGTTGCAGACAACTTGCAGCACCGTTTGCAGAATGGGACTTTTGGCGGGCTCAGCAGGGCAGAGACAGCCTGGACAATTCCTATTGGCTTTGGAAAGCCAATAGAATTAGATTCTATTCCAGAGAGTCTATTCTATTGGCTTTCAAAAGCCAATAGAATAAAAGGGAGTAGCACAGCTAAGGAAAAGGGGAAAAAAATGGCGGACTGCGTTGTTTGGCGACCCCCGTGAAATGGTCGTTTGGTCCCCAAATGGGGTCCCGACCCACAGGTTGAGAACCGCTGTGCTAAATGAATGCAGTCCAAAACTTTGGCAATATTAACAGAAGAGCAGAATAACAGAGCTGAGAAGGACCTTGGAGGTCTTCTAGTCCAGGGGTAGGGAACTTTGGCTCTTTTATGACTTGTGGACTTCAATACCCAGAATTCCTGAACCAGCCAGGCTGACTCAGGAATTCCCTACCCCCTGCTCAAGCAGGAGACCTTATACCATTTCAGTCAAGTAGCTGTCCAATCTCTTCTTAAAAACCTCCAGTGATGAAGCACCCACAACTTCTGGTGGCAAGCGGTTCCACTGGTTAATTGTCCTCACTGTCAGGAAGTTTCTCCTTAATTCCAGGTTGCTTCTCTCCTTGATTAGTTTCCATCCATTGTTTCTTGTCCTGCCTTCTGGTGCTTTGGATAATAATTTGACCCACCTCTTCTTTGTGGTAGCCCCTCAAATACTGGAACACTGCTATCATGTCCCATCTAGTCCTTCTTTTCTCTAGACTGGCCATACCCAATTCCTGTAGCCGTTCTTCATATGTCTTTGTCTCCAGGTCCTTAATAATCTTAGCTGCTCTTCTACCTACCTCTACTATTTCTACTCTACCTGTACTACTTCAGAAGTCTCCCAAGAGAGATTTTGTTGCTGTTCAGTTGCTGAATCATGTCTGACTCTTCATGACCCCATGGATCATAGCATGCCAGACCCCCTTGTCTTCCACCATCTCCCAGAGTTTACCCAAATTCATGTTCATTGTGTTGATGACACTATCTAACC